TGTTTAAAGGTTTAAGTACATAAGAAGGTTGAAGTCATGGCTAGGCATATTTTGTGACATTTCATAAAGGGATTACAGAGTCGCAATAAAAACCTGCCGTTGTTTTCCATATACCTGTACCCCATATAACTGTACCTCCCGATATTCGGTATTTTGATGATTTTAGCGACATTATTCACCAGAATTGTTTCAAATTTGTTATTTGAAGTTCGTAATGAATACTACTGCCTATTTTTGATATAGCGCCCATATAATTTTACCACGCTTTATTCGACATTTTGATGATTTTAGCTATATTATTCACAGAATTTTTTTCAAGTTTCGCATTTGCATATTGTAATGGCTCATGACAAAAGTTGCCTATGCAGGTCCACGTCGTCGTATAGACCCTATAAGGTCTACGTTCGGTATTTTTCAGATTTTAACAAAATTTTTAAATGAAAAAATTGCCAAATTTGTTCCATATGGTGGAGGGTATTCAAAGTTCGGCCCGGCCGAACTTACAGCTTTTTTACTTGTTAATAGTAAACAAATGTGATTTGACTTTCTTTAATTTTAAATAACAACTTAGTTAAGAGATAGGCTTACTGGATGACTTTATATAGGCATTGTAACGAACTTTTCTATATAGGAGTTGAAATAAACTGAGAAACCTATGTTTTTATATGTGTAGATGATTAGTTTTTTTATGTGAAGTATTTTTGCCTAAGTTTTTGTTTGTTTTATGTTCAAGTCGAATTAAAAAAAAAAACATGAATTTGCACATGATTTAATTTTAATTTTCCCTTCTTCTTTCTGCTGGTTTTACTATTTTTCAAAGTGCTTTTTGGTGTCAGACAGTAGAGATTTGTGTTGGTTTTTTTTTAAAAAAACTTATCTATAGCGATTTTTAGGTCGGAGAGGTTGGCATCCCTGACTTTCAATTAAATTCCAACAACAAAAAACAAAACATTGCACTCTCAGTTGCACAACAAAAAAGGGAAAAAAGCTATTTGCAGGTACGAAGAGCTTTTCTGCACATTATCTTCTTTATGAGACCATATATTTTCAATTTTGGCATTGTAAAATATTTAAAAGCTTCCAAAGCAGCATTTTACATTACAACATTTTGCAAATTCTGTACAAAAAAACTTCTAATTATTTAAAAATTAAAAATGCCCTACAAATTCCATCTTGAGCGTTCAAACAAAATATATGGCTATCTCTTTTCCTCTAATGTCAACTCGAATGACGTTCTCTCATTGGCATACGAAGAATTTTTGCCCCAAAAGCGGCAGAGAGAGAGAGCAGAAAGGAAGTGTTGCCACCAGAAATATACATATTGTACACGGAGAATAAAAATATTACACATACGGGGAAAAATAACACATTTTAACATTTAAAAAAATGTAATAAAAATTATTATTTAGCGTACAAACTTAAATAGATTTTATACCAAATTTTTATAATAATTTATAACTGAAAATATAATTCCTATAAATAAACGTTTTTTTTTATTACGATGATAGTTCCATCCATGGAACAATGAAGACAAGGTAGGGTAAATCTATCATATGAATACAATATATTTTTTGGTAGTCTTGTAATGTGATAAGCTGTTGAGAAGGATTATATATAAAAAAAACATATATCGGATTAGTAGGATTATGGAAACCGAGTTTCGCCAAATGGAAAATTTCATTCAATTTGGACTGAAATTAAATATTTAGTTCACAATAACCATGAAGTCGATAAAAACATATATGCAAGCTATATCCAAATTCGAACCGATCTTGATTAAATTTGGCAGGTGTAATTCTGAGCTTTATGAGATATCTAATTCTATTGTTGTGGAATGCATATTGCAAATGTGTGAGACTTAAACGCCAAATCATATATATATATGGGAGCTATAGCTAAATCTGAACTAATTTGGTCACATTACCAAATCGGATGAAGATGTATATAAGAGCTAAGTGCAAATCTGAACCGATCTCGGTAAAATTTGGCAAAGGTATTTCTGAACTGTATTTCATATCTTTTTTCCGAATATCGTTCTTATGAAGCTCATATTAAGGCTTTGAGGGGCAATAATAACAAATCGCAAGATCAATATATATGGAAGCTATTCCATAAATTCCATCCTATTTGGACTAATATTAAACATTAGGTGCACAATAAAAAAAATCGAACTATGATATGTATGGAATCTATATTAAAATATTGAATGACTATGCCTAATTTCCTTGGGCCAAACAAAAGACTAAATCGGATTAAAATGTTCAAAAAAACACATGGTCAGATAGACGGACATCCACACTGGATTTATCTCGTTTCCTTCTCAATGTTACAAACAAATGCACAAAAACCCTCTACCACAGTGTGGTCGTTACGCATGATGTGGCAACACTGCTACAGAGAAGTCAAGTTAAGTAATGTAAACCAATTGAAATGATAAAAGCGTTAGACACACAATGCAAGGCTTAAGCGTTTGGCGTCGTTTGATAATAATGACACACAAATGAAGATGTTAAAGAAGGACATATAATAAGTGACATTTATTGCAAATATTGATTTATGCATAAAAATAAAATACAAACAAATAAAATGTATTTTATTTTTCTTAGTCTCAACATTTTTTTACGATTCCATTTAAATTGAAAAATCAAATCTTTTCTGTCCACAGCAGCATCTTATCCGAGTTTGTTGTTTCCACTTCAAAATAATTCAACCAAATTTTGTTTTGCTTTTTTTTCTAATCAGAAATATGTCAAAGGTCAAACATTGTGACTCAGTCTAATCACTGATTACCCGAAAATGTATTCAATTTGGAATTCAGTTTTGATATTTCTTTGATATTCATAGTGCTCAGGCATCATGGAAATATGGAGATGATTCATGGGATGTTTGGCCAAACAAAACTGATAAGAATATAATAAAAAAAATTATTTTAAATGACCAAGAATTGTCATTAAGTTTTCTATTGAAAATAGTTCCACATTTGTTTTTTTTTTTTTTTTTTGAAAAACCCGAAATTTCCAACAAATCCATCTTCAAATTTCCTTAAAAAATCCAACCAAAAATTTTTTTCTCAAAAATGCACAAGCACCATTGAAATATGGAGAAGATTCATGGGATGTTTATTTAAATAAAATTGGTAAGAATTTAAAAACAAATATTAGAAATGCCCAAGGGAAAGAACGAGGAAGTTTTCGAAAAATATATGAAAAGTTCAAAAAAATTTTAAAAATCCATTTTATAATCTTCTTAAAAATCTATTACTTCCCAAAATAAAAAATATATATACAGGGTGAGATGAAAAAACTGCAACCAACTTCAGACTGCTTTTATTTCTAGGCCACTCGTCCAACAGCTGTTAAAAATAAATCCTTTGTGTCTCGTACCATTGCTCGTTACCGTGATACTGTTACTGGTAGCGTAGCCTGACGTCAAGGCAGTGGTCGGAAGAAAACAGCCACATCAGCAGAAATGGTTTGAAAAGTCAAGAAGCCGCTTGATCGAAGCACGCGACGGCCAAAATGTAGTAGTGAAAAATGGCTCGTGAGCTGAACATATCGCAATATCGCATTCGCCAAATATTGAAAAATGAGTTTGGGGTAAAGCCATTGAAATTCCAAAAAGTTCGAGAACTTACACCGCAACAAAGACGAAAATAGACTCAAAAGAGCCAAAGAGTTGTTCCGCTTGGCCGAAAGTGGTAAACTGCCGAATTTGGTTTGGTGGTCTCCGATGAGAAAACATTCGTTGTCCAGCCGAACAATGTAAACAAACAAAATAATTGCGTTTACTTGCCAAAGAGATCAGCTGAAAATGTGCACCAGAACTTCGGTTGGCCACCAGAACGCCGGCCATGGTGTGGGCTGCAATAACAGCCGATGTTTGCCCTCCGCTCGCATTAATCGACCATGGCATTAGAATAAATGCCGAATATAATAGCGAAAATATTCTGGAGGGTGTATTAAAGCCTTGGGCACGCAAACATTTTGGACATTCCAATAGGACTCAGCACGCGCCACCCAAGAATGGTTGCAAAATGAGGTTCCTCGCTTCATTTTCAGCGCACAATGGTTACAAAATGAGGTTCCACGCTTCATTTCCAGCGCCCAATGGCCACCAAAAAATCTCTGGATACCAATCCGTCGGACTATTGTGTCTGGAGTATTTGGAAAAGCAAGGTTGGCACTAAAAAATACCAAATTATCGATCACCTCAAGCAAGCGCTTCACAGGGAATGGGCCAAAATACCGCAGAACAACATTCGTGCAGCGTGTGTGACGGTTTCATTGGCCGTTTGAAGGCCATAATTCGTGCCAAAGGTGATTAATTCGAACAAATCTAAACTTATTTTAAAATTTGATGCTATTTCCGATATTTTTTGCTTTCATTCAATAAAATTTCAAAAAAAAAAAAAAATGAAAAAATTATGACAACAAAGTCAAATGCCATAATTTTTAATTTTTTTTTAAATGTTGTTGAATAAAAGCAAAAAATGTCGGAAGTAGCATAGAATTTTAGAATAACTTTAGATTTGTTCGAATTGATCACCTTTGGTACGAATTATGGCCTTCAAACGGCCAATGAAACAGTTTTTTTTATCTCACCCTTTTTTAAATCCTCGTTTTTAGCTCTCATATTTGTGGAAAAAGTTTTTTTCCAAAACATCCAGTTTTTTTATTTTTTCTTTTTATTTCATTTTACCTTTTTTGGCTGCAAAAAAAAAATATAAGAAAAAAATGTTATATTCATATTCTTCTTTTGTAATCTGATAATAATTCTTTGTTAAATTAAAAAGACTTTATTTACATAAAAAGAAAGTTAAGGACATTTAATGATCATCATGATTTGTTTTGTTGGTACTTCTTGTTTATATCTTTCTTTTTTTTTAAGTTTTTTTTTTTTTTTTTTGCTTTGGAAGAATTGTTAATTTTGGCCAAAGTAAAAAAATACTAGAAGTGTTTGCCAATTACTTTTCGATTTTGTTTAGATACGTAGTATGTATAAAAAATGCCAAAAAATATGTTTTCTTTATATCTATGTAATATGGATAAATATGCAAATAAATTAGGCGATGAGTTAGTAACCTATAAAAAAAAGAGAGGGAAGGGTTTTTGGGAGACCAAAAATTTTCCTTATAATTTAATAAATGTTGTTTTTTTTCGAGTTTTCTTAGCATTCTTTCTTCCGTTTTTTTGCGGGGGAGGCAAAGAAATAAAGTGGTTTTTATCTTTCTTTTCATGATTCTATGATAATTAGCCATTAAGTAAAGTTGGTGGTCATCGTTTTCCAAACAAGGAAACAAAATAAATTTTCATAAAAAGAAATTTTAACTTTTCTTTAAGAGATTTTTTTGTTTTGTTTTCAAAAGGCCTTGGTTGCTTCAGCTGATTACCCGGGGGGTTTTATGGGGGGATATTATTGTATTGTATTTTGAATAATTTTCCTTTTCCTTTATCTACAACATGCCAAAACCTTTGGAATAATTAATGGCCTTTAAAAGTCTTTCTTCCAGCTTTTCTTTGCTGCTGTATTCCGGCAATAAGAGCACATTAAAGCAGGTATGTGATGTGGGCAGACGATCACTGTCGGGTCCATGACGTGTTATCAACAGCTTGAGACGGCTCAAGCCACCCACGGGTACACGATCTGAGCCTGTGGTAAATTCCAAAAGTTTACGTTTCGATTCCTCGGGTAGACTGTGGACAATGCTCCAGAAATCCTTGATAATTTGAGTATCCTTGGTATAGCCACCTTCGTATTCTGTGGATTTTTCCAATTCCACAAAATCAAATTTCTAAAAACCAAAATAAATTCAATTTAAATTTTCACTCAAAATATTCATCCATCCAACTTACCCTACTACCACAAACCAGTAACTCAATTTCTTCTGGCCTAAACAGCAATTGCAGCGGTGATTCATCGGTGACCATGTCGAAGCCCTTCTTGAAGGCCTTGAATTGTTTCTCTATATTGGTGTTGAGCAAAAAATCACTATACAAATCCACAAATTCCTTTTTGTTGTGTTGACCCACAGCAACATCACCACCGCCAGGTTTCAGCTCATGTTCCACCACTTCATCGAACACATTTTTATAGCTAATCTTAAAGGTTTGCATAAAGACTTCCTCCATGTCGTTTTCCTGATAGTCCAACATGGATTTAAGACTACGATACAGGGTTGGATTCCAATCTTTTAGATCATAAAATGAGCCACGGCCACCCATTAGCTTGCGATAGACCACCATGGGAAAGTTCACAGCCAAAATAATGTTATTGTAAATAGCTAAGCCAATGATAATGCCGATCAGGGCAAATTGGGCACCATTTTCAAAGGGTGAGGGATTGAACCTGAAAACAAAGAGATATTAAAAAAAATCCAAGTACAAAAAATCTCCCAATTTCCTACCACATGGTATTGGTTTCTTCCTGATGGACAAACATGCCAAAATCGGGATTGAAAATCTCCTCCACAATTAATTGAAAGAATTCTTTGGATACACCGCCCTCATCAATGCCCTGTTCGCCCACAAATTCCACCACCAATTGTTTTTTCAGGTCTTTGGGACTACTCATGGCCACCAGTTCCAACTACAACAAAAAAAAAAAAAACAAATAAATTCTCAAACTTTAACCCCAAACCAACCGCCCAACTTACCCCTATTAAAGCATCATTAACAATATTATCACGTCTCACTTTCAGCTTCAAATCTGGACGCAGGACATCATTGCCATCACCCAAATAGTTGAACAATGAATACAACGACGAATTCCTTTCACTGTACATGCGTATGCGACTGTCATAGTACAGGGCAATGACTTTGGTGGCAGGGGTTAAAATAAACGAATACAACATAAAGGAAAAATGATTGCCTGCAGGAGGAAAGAAACAAAACATTTAAATCAGAAATACTGGTTAATTCCATCTGGCACACACACCTTCGCCAGCTAGATCCAATGATAAATTCTTATATGACAGATAATCCCGATCCATTTGTATGGCATCACTCAATGGCTCATTGTAGAATTCTTCAAGCGGCACCAGCGGGATTCTACAATCCATGCAGGATATACCCAATTCCTTTTCCAAGTCATCTTCACAAAATGAATAGTAGGGAAAATAGACAAACATGCCATCGTCGTAGTTGTTTGCAGCACTGCCGCCAGCCGACCCAGAGGCAGCATCGGGATCTTCAGATGATTCCTTGGTGGTAGTATCCCTATTTGATCTACTGTAGGTATCAATCTCTCCCGCCAATAGACTGGCATAAAAGGCTATCTGCAAAGAGGCCGAAATGATTATTTCGTTAATGTTTTGCTAAAAAAACATACGCAGCCTACCTTTAAAACTTTGGTTACCGCTATGACATCACTGTTCTCCTGCACCGTATCCTCATCCATAATAACTTGCAGGGTAATCAATTGTTGACAACATTGCACGAATGATTGCAGCTGATCCTTGCAGTGTACCGACCAAATGCGTGCTAAACGTGCCTGCGCCTTGAAGGGCATGGTCTGCGCAGCTTGACACAATTTTGGCATACTTCTTTCCAGATATTCCAAATCGGCATAACGGTTTGAGGCTGGAAGAAGAAGGGAATAAAATTATTTGAGTTAAGGGATCAGAGGAGGTTTGAAAATGTAAAAATGGGTTGAAGGTAAATGACCTTAGGAAATACCTACGTTACTCCTAGGGGGTAACGACTTTACTACAGGGGGGCTTATACTCTATTGTAGATGGCGCCAACGTGCATTTAATGTATTGCGGATGTCCCTAAGCGTCATCTACTCCATTGCGGATGTCCTTAAGGGCCATCAACTCCATTGTAGATGTCCCTAAGGGTCATCTACTCTATTGTGGATGGCGCTAAGGATCATATACTCTATTGAAGATGTCGTTAAGGGTCATCTACTCTATTGTAGATGTCGCTAAGGGTCTTCTACTCTATTGTATATGTCCCTAAGGGTCATCTACTCTATTGTAGATGTCCATAAGGGTCATCTACTCTATTGTAGATGTCCCTAAGGGTCATCTACTCTATTGTAGATGTCCCTAAGGGTCATCTACTCTATTGTAGATGTACCTAAGGGTAATCCACTCTATTGTAGATGTACCTAAGGGTCATCTACTCTATTGTAGATGTCCCTAAGCGTCATCTACTCTATTGTAGATGTCCCTAAGGGTCATTTACTCTATTGTAGATGTTCATAAGGGCCATGTACTCTATTGTAGATATCCCTAAGGGTCGTCTACACTATTGTGGAAATTCATAAGGGTCTTCTACACTAGTGTAGATGTCCCTAAGGGTCATCTATACTATTTTAGATGTCCCTAAGGGTAATCTACTCTATTGTAGACGTCCCTAAGGGTCATCTACTCTATTGTAGACGTCCCTAGGGGTCATCTACTCTATTGTAGATGTCCCCAAGGGTCATCTACTCTATTGTAGATGTCCCCAAGGGTCATCTACTCTATTGTAGATGTCCCCAAGGATCATCTACTCAATAGTAGATGTTGCAAAGGTTCATCTACTTTATTGTAGATGTCCCTAGGGCCATCTACACCATTGTAGACGTCTCTAAGGGTCATCTACTCTATTGTAGATGTCCCCTAGGGTCATCTACTCTATTATAGATGTCCCTAAGGGTCGTCTACATTATTGTAGATGTTCATAAGGGTCTTCTACAATAGTGTAGATGTCCCTAAGGGTCATCTATAATATTTTTAAGGGTAATCTACACCATCGTAGATGTCCCTCAAGGCCATCTACTGTATTGCAGATGGCTCTAGGCCCATCTGCCCAATTGTAGATGTCCCTAAGCGTCATCCACTCTATTGTAGATGTGCCTAAGAGCCACTACTCTATTGTAGATGTTCATAAGGGCCATGTACTCTATTGTAGATGTCCCTAAGGGTCGTCTACACTATTGTAGATATTCATAAGGGTCTTATACACTAGTGTAGATGTCCCTTAGGGTCATCTATACTATTTTAGATGTCCCTAAGGGTCATCTACACCATCGTAGATGTCCCTAGGGGTCATTTACTCTATTGTAGATGTCCCTCAAGGGCATCTACTCTATTATAGATGTCCCTCAAGGCCATCTACTGTATTGCAGATGACTCTAAGCTCATCTGCCCAATTGTAGATAATCCTAAGGAGCATCCATACATTGTTCCAAACCTCTCCACTTACTTGTCGTTGCCATATCAAAGCATATAACAAAACAATGCAATATCTTCTCCCAATCATAGAAACGTCCATATTTTATGCTCTCCGCCAAAATAATGATATTATTATTCAATGCCTCGCCCACAGCATTGTTATTCAGTCCATAGAGTTTCTTTTTAACACGGCGCAAACTTTCCAAATCCACCTGAGTATCACAACTTTGTGTCATAACAACAATGTCATCCAGGTCCACAGAGCCATCATCTTCATCCATGGGTTCAATACGATCACCACCACCACCACCAGCACCAGCGCCCTCAGCAGATGTGGCAGCATCTGTATTGTTCGAAGACGTTTGCTCCATACCAATATCCATGGAATTGGAAGAACCCGATTCCGGTCTAATATCATTCATAGATTCTGGATTAGCTGCAGCGCCATGCTCGTCGTCTTCGTCATCGTCGGCATCAATGCATGTACTATCCTCATCCTTGTCGTGTTCACCCTCCAGTGTACGTAGATCTTCTTTTTTCAGTTCTTGTGGTGATTTACCCAATATCTCCTGCAGCTTGGAGGCATTAGCTGTGCTGGAGGCCAATTTCACCAGGGGTGGACGTTTAAAGCTTCTACTGAGTTTCTTGACCGAACAATAGACCTCGTTGATGGCATGTATTAGACGATCATAGGAATTGTATTTTGTACACTCTTCTATCAGTTCATCGAGTATTTGCTCATTTAAATATTCCACATTCTCTAGGGTGGGTGTGGCGGGTGGACTTGCGGACTTGGCTTTGCCGGTTGCCGCTGTATTTGGAGCCTCTACTTCGCCCAGGGCTTCTAAGAGCGGCAGCTCTTCTGTGGCACAGCTGGAAATGTTGGTATTACTACTACCGGTCGAACTGGAGGCCGATGACGATGATGATCCCGATGTTATGGTACTGTTTGAACTGCTACTGCTGCTGCTACCACTGGTGCTGGCTGCGTCTTGGCCACCGGAACAATCCATGTCAACAGCATTGGCAGAACGTGAACTGGAGGGTGAGTCATGTTGGGGACCTGTCCTGGGCACTTTGGGCTGTTGCTGGGCATAGTTATCACATAGAGGTGCATCCTGGGAGAAAAGAGAAATTGCTTTTGCGGCAATTTCATTGGGTGACATGGGAGCCACCTTACCACTGGAGGCACAATTGACATTGGAACATTTGGGATTGCCACAACCCCTTTGCAGCTGATAAAAATAACGTTCAATTAACTCCTTAACCGCTGATCTTTTCATGTCCGGTGGTGTGGGTGAGGTATTTGTTGTCGATGATGCTGCTGATGTTCTGGCTGGAGGTGTTTGCTGTTCGACTTGATTTTGTGTTGTTATTGTGGGTCTTTGTTGTCCTGTCACAGACAAATCTTGTGGCACACTAAAAAATTAATTAAAACAAAATTTAAATTTTCCCCAGCCATTTTATTGGCTTTCAAAAACTCACCTAACAGCTTCCTCGTCATCTGACATTGGATGGTCTTGTTGTTCTATTATCTGACCGTTGTTTTCGTCGTCGCCCACAGTTCCTGCTGCTGCTGCTGCTGCTCTTGGCAACTTTAATTTATTCTCGTCTGCAGGGTTCATATGTTTTCCTTTTTGTTGTTGTTAATTTCTTTGCCTTTTATAGCAAATATCGGTTTTCTTAACTTTGGTCGAATGAATTTTAACTTTTTGACCTTTAGTCCAATGGATTTAGTGGATCTCTATTGGATTTCTGGCGATATATATGCTGAATTTCTCACAGTAATTTCCTTATTTTGGAAAAAAAGGAAGAATGTCAAACTGCCAAGAAAAAAATCAAATCATCCTGTCAAAGAGAGCAAGAGAGTGCATTTGACAGGGGCAATCGACAGTTTGTTTTTTTGTTTCTTATTGGGAACAAAGGCGTCGTAACTGTGAGCGCACAAAGCAGAGCGTAAGGCGTATGATTGTGGGGGGAAATGAAGAAATTTAATGATTTTGAATGTTTTTTATTAAATATTTCGTTTATTCGGGATGCAATATATTGGGTCCATTTCACAAAAATTCCAAATTCTCAAATAATGACTTGGGATTAGCCGATATTGTGCAAACTTGGCCAAGTTGGAATAAAAATAATAGTAAATAGTTAACATTTATTTCAACCTTTTCAAAACAAAATTGTAAATTTTTCATGGACAATTTGCAGAAACTTCTGATCAAAATTGTTGTTAATTTTTCATGGACAATTTGCAGTAACCCCTGATCAACATCTAAAATCGTGGATCTTTTCAGAATTTTTTCAATGTCTTCCAACACAAAATCATTGAGTTTTGAAAAATACTTTGTAGGAACTTCTCAACAAAAATTAGGGATTTTTTAGAAGCCTTTTTTAGATTTCCTGGCCAAAGCCCATTTTTGTGAAATTTCTGTTTCAATGACATTGGACTTTGTGTTTCAATGATTTTAATTTGCGTTTCAATGGCTTTCAAACAAAATCGAAGTTTTTACTTAAATATTTTAAAGGAACTACCGACCAATAACCGAGTTTTTTTTCTGTCCAAAATCGTGGATCTATTCACAATTTTTTGTGATTTGAATAGCTTTTGAAGGGTATTTTAAAGGAACTCCTGATAAAAATTAATGAATTTTAAGAGTCCTTTTTAGGTTTCCAAAGTTCTGGATTTTATCTAAATCTCACTGGCAAAAAGGATAGATTTTTGAGAAATATTTTGAATAATTTCGTTGATTATTAAGGATTTCTTTTGAAGAAAATTCCTACCAAAAAATTTGATTTTTTTGAAGATTTTCAGGCCAAATATTTTGGATTTTTCAAGGATTTCCTTTGAAATTGATGAAATTGATTTTAAATAATTTTTCAAACATTTCTAACATAAAATCGTTGAAAGAATTTTTTACCAAAAATCTTTAAATTTTTGGGAATATGTCGAAGATTATATATCTTGGACTTTTCAAGGACTTCTTTTGAAAATTATGATTTTTAATTTTTTTTTAAAAATGTCTAACACAAAATAGTTGATTTTTCATAAATATTTTGAAGGAATCCCTGATCAAAAATCTGGAATTTTTTGGAAATATTTTGAAGATTTTCGGGCCAAAAATCATGGTTTTTTCAAAGGCTTCCTGATAAAAAAATTATGATTTTCAGAATATTTTCAATGGTCTCAAACTTAAAATCGTTTTTTAAGAATATTTTGATGAACTTCTGATCAAAAATTTCCAACTTTGTTTAGGGTTTATGATTTTCAGAATATTTTCAATGGTCTCAAACTTAAAATCGTTTTTAACAATATTTTGATGAACTTCTGATCAAAAATCTCCAACTTTTTTTTAAGGTTTTTCTGGCTAAAGCACATGCATTTATTAACAACTTATTGGAGGAAGATTTTTAAATGGTTTCCATTACAGAATCGTTGATTTTTTTAATCTTTTGAAGGTAATTTTCCAGGACATCCTGGTGAAATATATATTCAATGACCTCCAACAAAAGATCGTTGGTTTTTAAAGAATACTTTGATGAAATTTCGGAAGAAAAATCGCAAATTTTTTGAGCAACATTTTCTATTCTGAAACTAGTGAAATTTTTGGTAATAAATGTCAATAATTTCCTGTAATAAATCATTGACTTTTGAAGAAAATTGTGATTTGTTGTTGAAGAGAAAGCTAATTGTTCAAAGTATTCTGTTTGTCTTGTATATTTACATTGGAGACTTGTTATGTAATTTTGGTTACAAAAATATAGTAAATTTGTGTATTAAACTATAGAAAAACCATAGATGTTGACGATTTCAAAGGCCTACCTTTCATGTAATGTATCATTACTCACATTTCTGCCACTTGGTTGACGCCATCATTATAGATGCCGCTTAAGTAAGCAACCAGCTGTTGTCTCCAACAAAATTGCATTTCTAAAACCCTAACAATGTCTTCTTTCGATTATTAGAACTCTAACTACCTTAATTTCGGTGCTTTTGTTTTGATTTTAAGCTTTATCACTAAATCCTCCTCTATCTTTTGTTTCTTATTTTCACACGGCGACAGGTTTCTAATAAGAACTGTGTAATCTACCTTCTAACGCCGTAAAAATCACGCAGCTCTGTATTCTGACGTATTACCTTATCAGAAAGAAGGGGAAAAATAAAAAAATCGAAAAAATCGCTGTTTCGCTGAACAGAAAAAAAGCAAAAAGAATCTATTCAAAACATTGAATATTTTGCCGTGAAATTGCGTCATATGCAGCAAATGATGTGATGGAATAAAGTAACGCAGAGTGCATAGTGTAGCGATAAACAAACAGCAACATGAGTAACGAAAAGATCGCCGAAGACATTGCCAATTGTGTGCGTAAAGCTATTCCGTGGCATAATCTACCCGTGCATCTGATAAATCGTTTCCACAATAATCAACGTGATTACGAGAAATATGTTTTCAACTATAGCCTGAAGAATCAGTTGCGTTTCCGTGGCAATTTGGTTAGTAAAATCTTTCGCAAGGAGCAACGCTACTATGAGCTGTTGGTACAGAAATCCATTAATACCTTGGGTTTGTTTCCCTATCACCTGGCTGATATTGTGACCAAGGGATTGCGGGTGACACCGTTTAATTATTATCTTGATGTTTTGTCACAGTTACTGAGAAATGATAAGAGCTATGATAGCTTGCCGAATTTCACGGCCGCCGATTGTTTGCGGGTCTTGGGTATTGGCCGCAATGAATATCTGTCGTTGATCAGTGAATTGAAGACCCACACAACACGGGCCCTGTTGTTTACCACCAAACCAAATCCCCTGGAATACCTGCCCAGATTTCCACAACGCATACGCATTGAGCCCTGGTGGCGGGTGGAGGTGGGTTTTGTGCTGGAATCTGATATACGATTTGTTACGGCCTCCGAAAGAAGCCTTATAGATGACTTGATTGATTTTGGCTCCCAGACGGCTGGCAAGTGTGATTATCATGTGGTCCATAGTCTGTATAGAAAGGGATTGATATACCTTGATGTTCCGATTTCGGGTGAGGATAAAATATCCATACCGCCGTTGAGGAATTTTGTTATGAATCGTGTGAGCGGTGATTATTTTGAAAATTTGTTGTACAAAATCTTTGTGAGTGCCGATGAACATATGACCATCTTGGAATTGGCGCAAATGTTGCAGCTGGAATTGGATTTGGTAAAGCAGGCGGTTAGTTTGTTTTGTCGTCTGGGTTTTGCCCAGCTGAAAGAGTCGGCCAGCTCGCTGGAAAGTCCTGTAAATGCTGCCAAATATCATGAATCCTGGGATGAGTATAAACGGGAACAGGCCTTGGCCAAGGAGGCTCCACAAATCACCCCCTTGAATTATAATAATTATGTGAATAATGAGACGGATGGTGGGGCAGTGGAGACGCCCAAGGCCAAGGGTGAACAGGAGGAGAAAAACAAAGATAAAGATTCCAGCTCAATTGGTTATCTGTCGTCCGATGGCAATACAAGTGATTTCAGTTTTGCCAATATGCCTACACCCTCACCCCAGCCATTGGCCAAGAATTCTCCTCGGCAAAATTCCGATGATCCAGATTTATCTTCAGAGATAGATGATCTATCGGAGAATACCACCAAGCCAAGTCTAAGAGAGGCCATAACACCCACAGAAAGTCCTCCCAAGACCGGGAAACGTGTGGCCTTTTTATTTGACTCGACGCTAACGGCTTTCCTAATGATGGGCAATCTTTCACCGGGTCTAAAAAATCATGCCGTCACCATGTTTGAGGTGGGTAAGCTGTGTGAGGAGAGCATGGATTCCCTGCTGGCGGAATTGGAAAAGGTCTCCCTGCTGGATGCTGAGGGTGAGGGAGATGTATCACGTTATTTTGCCCATGCTGTTATTTTACGTTCCACCATTTGCTCGTTGCGAAATTTATTACCTGGTGGCATGGATCTTTTGAGGCTGGAATGCCTGGAGAGTTTGGATCAAAAGACACGCGATAGAGTTTTGGAAAAGAAATATAAATTTATTATCTCCTCCACGCCGCTAACTGCCAGCATGTCACATCTGTTTACCATACCCTTTTTTGGGCAGTTCTTTAGGTCCTCGGACAATTCTCACATGTGGACGAAGTTGTTCTACAATCACATCACAGGTAGGAAGGGGGTTTGGAGTTTCTGAAATTTGAAATTTTTCTATTTTTTTTATTTTTTCTCTTCAGGCTATGGTCCCCCCTCCTTGTTTCTTTGCCGTGGCACGGTGCTGAAATCTCTGCCACGAATCTTCTTAGGCTACGGCAAGTTGCTGGTGAATATCCTACATTCCGATTCGTATGTCATTAACAGTGAAAATTTCCGCAATTTAAATGATCAATTGAAAAATGGCTGCATACTCCTGCAAGGCTATGGCATAAGGTCTCCTGGCGAGCTGCACTATGAGGCCTTTCCCTTTACCTCCAGTCGGAGGGAAGAAAATAAATGGTCTCGCCACAAGGCAGTTTTGAAATTACAAGAACATCTGGACTTGCAGCATCACTGTGGCTATATAACTTTCGTTAATACCGGCGTGGCTGATATTGGTTGCGAACAATATGAATTGGAGGTCCATTTGAAACATCCACGCAGCAAACTTAAGGCAGTGAGGAAAGATAATCAAAGTCTGGACAAGGAGAACACACCACAAGATGTGCCAAATGTACTTAAATTAGATGAGGAAAAAATGGAAGCAAAAGATCTACTTTCACCCGATCAAACGGAGTTGTGTAGCTTTGCCAGGGCCACAAGTTCACCGCAACATCAAAATCTCAAGACACCGGATGAGAATTATTTTGCCAGCCAACAAACGAATCAGGAACCATCAGCCGTTTACACCTCGGCCGATTGCAGTGAACTCTTGGCCACCGAACTGGCCAATTGTAGTGGTAAAATTGAGCTGGTCTCCCAGGGCTCTGTGGAAATTCCCCTAGATCGTGAGGCATTGTTGCAACAAAAACAAACAACTCTAACAGAATCCAATGCTGAAGAAGACGAAGAAGATACCACAGAGGAGTGGACCCTGCTGGATGTGAATTTTGGTGTACCCCTATTCGATGTGGACACCAACACCAGGATATGTGAGCAAATTGTGCGAAATTTATCTACTGAAGAAAATCTCAATGAATTGCCGAGAAAATCCGCTGAAATGTCAGAGAAATTTGGAAATTTCATAAAACAATGTCTCTACTTTGAGGACGAACAGGTGGATCAATTGAAATTGGGTAAAAATCTACCCCATCCCCGGATTAATTTGGCCTTTGAAAATGGCAAGGTTTGCTATTGGAATGGTAGATAAATGCAAGGGAGAGAGAGGGGAGGGGGGTAAAGGAAAATCTTAAAAGAAGAAACTGTAAGTTTCCCCCTTGGAGTAAACATTTGCTGGCCGAGAGAGAGATCGAAAGACAAACAGACAAAGAGAGTTTCCATCCAGTTTTCAGTTTCAAATTTTGTTTTGCTTTTTTGTTTTTTGTTGGTAAGATAATCAGGATTTCTTTTTCTGCAAAATATAATGGCAATATAAAATTGAGTGGTTTAAAAGAGTAGAGAAAAAGGGAAGATTTTCAAAATGCAAAACAAATACACCCGTTTTTCAAAATTATTTTTTTTACCCTCCACCATAGTATGGAGGGTATATTAAGTTTGTCATTCCGTTTGTTACACCTCGGAACATACATTTTAGACCTCACAAAGCATACAATTCTATGTCGATTTAGTGATGTCCGTCCGTCTATCCGTCTGTGGAAATCACTCTAACTTCCGAACGAAATGAAGTAGGTTAATAAAATTTTACTCAAATACGTATTATGTTTGCAGGACTTTTGGTATTGAAAATGGGCCATGTAGGTCCACGTCTTCGTATAGCTTCCATTTAACGGTACCTCCCTTTTTTCGGTATTTTGGCAATTTAAGCGACATTATTCACACGAATTGTTCCAAATTTGGTATTTGAAGTTCGTAACGGATGCTACAGCCTATGACAGAAAATTGTCTGTGCAAGTCCACGTCTTCATATAGCCTCCATATAATGCTACCTCCCGATATTCGGTATTTTGATGATTTTAGCGACATTATTCACCGCAAATTGTTCAAATTTGGTATTTGAAGTTCGTAATGGATGCTACAGCCTATGACAGAAAATTGTCTCTGCAGGTCCACGTTTTCGTATAGCCCCCATATAGCGTTACCTCCAGATATTCAGTATTTTGATGATTTTTGCCACATTTTTTCACGGATTTGTCTGAAAATTGGTATTTGTAGGTTATAATCGGTCCTAGTTCGTGTGGCGAAACATTGTATGTATAGGTCTACGTTTTAGTATAGCTCCCATAAAACGGTACCTGTCGATATTCGGTATTTTGATGAATTTTGCCACATTTCTTGTCGAATTTGTCTGAAAATTGGTATTTGTGGGTGATAATGGGTCCTAGTTCGCGTGGCGAAACAATACATGTATAGGTCCACGATTTCGTATAGCCGATATGCCGTATTTTCGGCATTTTTTCATTTTTTTTTCACGGATTTTCCTGAAAATTGGTATTTGTGGGTCAGAATGGGTTCTAATATTTCCTTTGCCCTAAGGTGGAGGGTATTAAGAGTTCGGACCGGCCAAACTTAATGTTTTTTACTTGTTTCGAGTTATTTTTTTTTGCTTTGGAATTAACTCAATTTCTTAGAAAAAATATGGATTATTTTTGCTTTTTTTTTCTTTTCACGAAAAATGTGCGGGAAAAATTTGTGGGAACTCCTAGTATTAATTTAGAAAAATTAAAAATAAAAAGTGCCAAAGATTTCCCACAATTGTTGAGCGTTTTTTGAAAAGTTCGAAAAATCTCCACTCCAAACAATCCATGATTTTTATATTGCCATACCTTTACCAAGCCCATAATGGATATATTCCAATTTGTTATTGTTTATTTGCTTCCAGTGAATTTTATTTTTTCAATTTGTTTTTTTATTATTATTCCATTATTAAATGTTTAAAATAATATTTAATTTTTATCTTATCGTTATCATAAGCATTCTACTACGACTTATCAAATATATATGTTATTATATCAAACAGTTTTCAATTTATTATCGATATTTCAAACATTCCATATTTTTTGTTGTTGTATCTCAAAATGCAATTCAATTAAAAAATAATTTATTTTTTGAAGTATTTGCAATTTTTGTCAATCGCATTTATCTACATGGCTACATAGATATTTTTTGTAGTTGTTTTTTTTTTTTGTTATTATATTCTGTATTCATATTCCTATTTTAATTATTCAGTTTTTGTTTAAAAAATGCAATTGATTTCCTTCCACTTAGTTTTATAAAAAATCAAATTAAATAAAAATGTAACTAAGAAAACTGTTATAATTCAAAGAAGGTTTAAGAAAATATTAAGAAAAAAATATTTTCAAAATATTTTCACAACATTTTTTTAAATGAACTGCAAATTTTTAAAAATAAATAATAAATAAAAATACAAAAAAATGTTTTAATAAAGTTTTAAAACGCCATTATATTTTATGACTTTAATAAAATATTTTTTTTTCAAACTGAAAATGAAACACAAGTTATACATCTATTAAAAAAAAATAAAAATAAATAAAAAATAAATAAAAAAAATAAATAAAAAATAAAAAAATAAAAATAAATTAATGAATAAAAAAATAAATAAAAAAAACTAAAAAATACACTATTTACCCTAGGATCTATTTATAAACAGTCATTAAAATACAAACACACATACACACACACTCAACTATGAAAGCTTCCTCTACACACAATTTTAAATGCTTATTGTAAACAGTAATAAAAAATAACAAAATTTATCATTTCTATTTTATCATGAATATTAAAAAAAAAAAAACAATAAACAAATATTTGTAACTAACAACAACAATATTGTTATTTTTTAGAAAAATAAGAATCAAACATTCAAAAATATTAAATATTAACATTAATATTAATATTATTTAACTAAAACCAAAACAAAAAAAAAATAATAAAATAAAAAAAAAACAAAATCATAAATAAATAAAAAATAAGCAACCCGATATTTTAAAATAATACCAAATCAGGATTTTACTTGATGTTTGGGACATTTGAGAATGTGGAGGATTTTTTCAAAAAAAAACTTTTCTTAAAATGATTTTTGGATTTTTATACCCTCCACCATAGTACATTAAGTTTGCCATTCAAAAGCTATTTTTAGAAGACGTTTTTTTTTTCGAAAACTAATTTTTTGAAGATATTTTTTTAATTTTATTTTTTTTCTTTTTTACATGGGATAATTATTTTTAAATGTTATATTTTTAAGATTTTCCGGCGTGTATTTTTGTGAAGACAATTTTGTCAGAAGTTATGTTTTTGAAGACAATTTATTTTCTAAAGTCGAAATTTTGAAGACATTTTGTAAAAAAAAAGTTTGAAAATCTGTTTTTTTATATTTTTTGAAGGATGTTTTTTTTCAAAATTCTATTTTTATTTTGTTTAAATGATTTTTTTTTTGAGTTAAATTTTTTTCAGACGCTAGTTGAAGACAATTTATTTTTTGAGATCGAGTAAATGTGTATTTTTTATTAAAATTTTTTAAAGATTATTTTCCAAATTTCTTTTTGTTTATTTTTTTTTTTTAAATTTTTAATTTTTTTGAAGACATTTTATTTAGAAGTCTATTCTTTAAAGACAATTTATGTAAAAAAATAATAGTTTGAAAATTTGTTTTTTTTTCCAAATGTTATTTTTTCATATTATACTTTTTTCCGGTGTGGATTTGTTTGAAGACATTTATTAAAAAAATTTAATAGTTTGAAAACGATTTTTATTAATTTTTTCAAATTTCAGTTTTTCAAAAAATGTATTTTTTGAAGAATATATATTTTCAAAAGTTAATTTTTTTAAATTTGAGCATTTTTTCGACATGGTTTTTGTGAAAAAATACAAGAGTGGATTTTTGGAAGTAACAGGGCCTTATAATTTTTTTTTGTGTTTTTTTAATTATCTTTTTTTTTGACGAAAAAGCAATTTTTAGGAAATTTCGTTTTTTAATGACTTTTTTATTTATGTTAAAATAATTTCGGAATTTTTTTTTTTGAAAAGTTATTTTATTAAACACATTTTTTCAAATCTGGAGAAATGTTCTTCCAAGAGTACATTTTTTGATAAAAAAAACTTTCTGAAATGTAGAAGAAATTTTCTTTGATTTTTTTTATATTTTTTTTAATCGTTGAGTTTTTTTTTTAATTTTTATTTACTGAATTTTTAATCATGATTTTTCGGAGGAAAACGCAGATTTTTGAAGCTTGCTGTTTTTGCTTTTGCTTGTATACTTTTCTTAATTATAAATTATTAGAAGAAAAGAACATTTTTAAGAACAATTTTGGATTTTTAAAGTTTTTTTTTTAGTTTTTGATAAAAAAAACTTTTTTATTCGAGGATTTTTTATAAATTTTATCTCAAAATAATTTTTGAAGGTTTGTTTTGAAGAGTTAATTATTAACCACGTCTTTCCAAAAAAGATGATTAAAAGAATTATTGGAATCCGTTTTTTGCAAATTTTTTTAATTGTTGAGTTTATTTTTTCTAAAATTTTTTGGCTTCATTTTCGAATTTCTGGGGATTATTTCTTTATTCCCAGCAAAATTTATATATGTTTAAAAAAATTGCTAAAATGTGGAAGAAATTTTCTTAAATTCTTTTTTTAAAGAATTTTTTTAATAGTTGAGTTTTTCTTAATTTTTTCTTGGCTTAATTTTTTAGTTTCTGGAGATGTTTTCTTCATTACCGAAAAAATGTAATTTTTTAACGTTGAGTTTTATAAATATTTTAAAGTTGGGAATTGTCCCTCCTATTAAATTAGGTTCTCAAACAAAAAGTAGTAGATTTTGGCCCTTAAAAATATTTTATAAAAATATTATTACTCTCTAAAAATTAACTTCTTAGAAAATATATATAAAAAGTAGGTGATTAAAATATAAAAAAAAACAAAACAAAGATCGGTGGCTCTTTCCGAAAGATAGGTATTCCTTGCCTATTCCCTGGTAACATTACTATTGTTCTCCACGAATAAACAAACGTTGTTTTTATAAAAACAATAAAAATAGAATTAAGACTGACCATTTTGCAACACAAAAAAATCAATTAAAATTAGGTCCTTCGAAAAAAAAATATTCAAAAGAACGCCTTGGAAAAAAATCAGTAAAATTAAATTCCAAAAAATCCTGAAAAAATTAACTCGAATAACCAGGATAAAAAAAAATGTTTTTAAATAATTTTTTTCCAAATATTTTTTTCAAGGACCCAGTAGTCTAAAATAATTTGATTTTCTAGGGAATTTTCTCTGTTCTAAAAAAAATAAACATGAAACTTAGAAAAAATCATTAAAAAAATCAAGAATCCAACAGGAAAATCTTATATTTTTAAAATGACAAAAATTTAAATTTTTTTCAAATATTTTTTACAAAGACCAAAATTTCTTGCAAATTTTTCTCCATTCCCAGGAAAATATTTTTTATGTTTTTTATTTTTTTTTCAAGGATCCAGTAGTCTAAAATAATTTGATTTTCTAGGGAATTTTCTCTGTTCTAAAAAAAAAATAAACATGAAACTTAGAAAAAATTATTAAAAAAATCAAGGATTCCTCAGAAAAATCTTTAATTTTAACGATGACTAAAATTTAATTTTTTTTTTAAATATTTTTTTCAAAGACCAAAATTTCTTGCATATTTTTCTCCATTCCAAGGAAAATATTTTTTATGTTTCTTATTTTTTTTTTTTAATTTTTTTTTCAAGGATCCAGCAGTCTAACATAACTGGATTTTCTAGGGAATTTTCTCTGTTAAAAAATTAAACATGAAACTTAGAAAAAATCATTAAAAAGAATCAAGGATTCCACAGAAAAAACTTTAATTTTTACGATAACTAATTTTTTTTTTCAAATATTTTTTTTAAATGATTTTTTTCCAATTTTTTTTTCAAGGATCCAGTAGTCTAAAATTTTGATTTTCTAGGGAATTTTTTCTGTTCTAAAAAAAGTT